GCTCGACACTCACCCCAGAGGTGTTGTCCTTTGTGTTTCCTACAAGGCTGTGCATTGAGCCATCTTCTCCTTTCTTCCGGGGTCTCATCCTGTCTGTTCTTCCTATTGTTGTTGTTGTTTCTTCTTTGCTTTCCATTCCTTCCTTGTCCTGTTCTGTTGTCGTCCGCTGGTCTTTTCCTTGAACGTTGCTGTTGCTGTTCTTCATCTGCCATTCCTTTTAGCTCAGACATGAATTCCACTATATCTTCAATTGTGTCCCTCAGGATATTTCTCCCACACTTCCTGTAGTCACTCTGCCAGGATTTAGGGAAGGACTTGAAAAGGATCTGCCTGATTTCTCTGTCCGACAGGGGATCACAGACTCCATGAAGAATGTTGGCCCTGGAGCAGCATGTCTGAATTCTGTCCGCGTGTGCTTCACAGGAGATTGAATGGGGTTTCCTTACAGCTTCTGATTTTAAGTAATCAATGACATCGTCCCTGGCATTCTTGGAGGAAGCATAGAACTTCCTGAAGGTAAGGAGGGCTATTTTCCATTGTRCTTTGCTATCTCTTGTCACCTGTTCCRATAATCTGTTGTTGCGCCACATGTTATTCCATTTCTGTCTGGGCCCGTGTTGTAGGACCATCTGCCACTTGTGGTCTATTTGATCTTCCGCTATCTCCAAGTCTAGGATTGCATCTTCAAAGTCTTCTTGAACATGGAACAGTTCCTGCAAACCATACTCCCCCGAGAAGGTCGTGCAGGTCTTGGATAGCTTTCTTGCTGGGTTACGAAGATTCACTGTCATTGAGACTGTCTTCAATTGAGCTGGATCGAAGTTATTTGTAAGTCTTAAGCAAGACCGATGTGTGTTGGTTGATTTCACCATGGTCGATGTTGATTTCACCATGGTTGATGTGGCATTTTGGTTATTTTTCTTAAGGGTCAAAATTAGCAGTGTGGTAGTGGATGTGCCGCGAGGTAGTGGTTAGGAATGGTATTCCATTCACATGCATTATGTCAATGGAAATGGTCACCTCCTGGTAATGTTGTTTGATATGTGTCGGTATTGGTATTATCTCCATGATAACTTGTGATTTGGTTTGTCGAGTTGTTTTCCCTTTTAGGCCTGGGATACTTGGGCCGAGGATCGCATTCATTAGCTTTATATCGCGCGGGATGATTGGGATGTTTCGCAATTGGTTATGTCGAACAATCCGTATTAGTTGTTGTTCACTCAGGTGTCCAGCAATGTGCTGGAAAGTGCGGGCTAGCTCTGCCCGCCGTACATCTTGCTTGGAATATTTTGCCTTGTTTCCTTCAATTGTCGGTATTGTTTCGGCTCCCTCATTTTGCAATACAGTTCCCATCTTATTTCGGATCACGCCGCCTATTTCATTCTGTATTACTTTGTTGAGGTTGTTGAAATGGGATGTAAAGTCGCAATAGTATAGGCCTTTCGTGGATGGAATGAATTCTCTGCATTCCCCATCGGGCTTGTAAACCCTGAAGCAGTCATCATGATTACTGTCGTAAGTGATACTGTATCCTTTCTTTTTCATAGTTCCGTGGAATGATAATATGTTCGCAATCCCACTCCTGTGCACCCATACTGTACCGAATCCTGGGAGCTCTCCCACTTCATTGATAATTGATTTTCCTGTGTTCGTGTACAGGTGTAGTTCTTTGTGTACTTTGCGGACATTCTGCAGGAACATGGTGTTAAAGAATACATGTACTGTCGATTGGTTATCTAAAAGTATCCAGAATGGGTTCAGTCTCCCCTCCACTGAGTTGAGTATTGATTTGTAGTTCATCCTCCATATATCAAGCTCAAGCGCACTCAACTCTGCGTATTGCTCTGCTGTGTATTGTTTTGGCTCTTTCTTATTTAATATTGTTATCTTTAGATTGTGAAGAGACGCCTTGACACTTCCTCCGTGGGTCCGTCCTGCATAGTTTATAAACGCTTCACGGCTGGTCATCCATTTCTTTCCCATGTTGGCTCCCATGGTGAAGATGTCATGTTTCAGTTCCTCAGTCTTTGAGCTATAGTTTGATTTCTTAGTATTATAGTGAGGATTGTATTGTCCTTTCTTCTTGTTCCTGTATCTGTTTCGATTCGTTGAGCTGTTCCTTTGGTCTTCCATTACCGCTTCTGCTTCAACGATCTTTAACTTCTTGTCGCTATCTTCAGACGACATCTTCTGCTATTAGTTACTAATTACTCTTTAATTTATGTTGACCCTCCAGTCCTATCGAAGATACGTTTCCATTGGGATACGCGGAATACGACGTCAAATAGACTGGAGATTAGGTATATTACTGGTGTTTGTATTTCACTAATGGATAAATTAAAGAGTATGTGCGTACGTGGTCCGGATCTCATATTTGTCCTTTTTTCCTCTTCTGTTGGACCTAGTATTAGGTATACGGTAATCCCTATCCCTAGTCATCAATTCTTATTTCACAACAGAAGGTGCGAGGTGCGAGTGCGTACGGTAATCATAGTACTTGAGACGAAAATTCTAAATTCCCACGTGCTTCGTTGTCGAAGCGGAACCGCAGTTCAGGGATGCGGTCTAGAACAAGATTTTAACAAGCAGCGGATCATAGTTTACGCACTCGTAGTCGGATCCTGTTCCTAGAGACGACAGAAACTTCTTTGATCTCGTCTTTCTTCGAGGCACGGCGCCTTGGTCCTCACTCCCGGTGCGAGGTGCTCTTGAAGTCTGCCAGTGACCAAGCAAGTTGGACGGACCGGGATCACCTCACGTGCGTTTCGGTACCGCGGGAGAGCCCCTGGTTGAAGCGTGCGTCCAGTGTTCTGATGCCCCAAGGAACAATAGACAGTGTTCTGAGTTCTGATGCCACGATGTGGAATGGACAACAAGCTCTGTCCCCTCTACCAGGTACCGGCAACGATCTCGGGGCTGGTCTACGGTCACGATACTACCGAGCGCGAGCACTGCGGTCGACTGTGTCTTCTTGCTTCGGTGTCAAAACCATCCATTAAGAGAGAATGGACTGATCCTTGATAGAGGCAGCAACCACAGAGGCAAGGGGCAAGGTTTTCCCGGCAGGAGTAGGGTCCGAGAGCCGTTTGTTTAGGAGTAACAGATGACTGATCTAGCAACCGATACGATAGATGGGAGCCAATCGGAACAGCCCAGCAAAAGTACGCCGACAAAAAGAAATGAACGGAGCAGCACGATGCAACGAAACCGGGAGCCGGAAACTGATTATATTTGTACCACAATCAAAGCCCCAACCGCAATGCCTATGTTGCTGCGCTAATCTACCACCACGAAATCCGATTGTGTCCTGTCAGTGCTTTTTTCCCAGGGTGACTGAGATTTTGTAACGCGTCCTGGTAATGATTGAAAAGACGTCTGGTATGTTGATATCTCTAATTTTGGCTCCTTATTTGTTAAAAAACATTGTCCACAAAATTGGGGAGCATGACGTTATCAACCACGTGTATAACTCCATTGCATGCTTCGATGTCGGATTCGACGATTTTGGGGATGATGTTGTTTTTGCGGTTGCCACCGCCCTTTTGGTAGAACTCCCATAAATCGGTGTCGGGATTTTTGATGCATTTCGTACGGGACATTCCTCCGAGGGCCATTTCGACCAACCCGGTGCATTTCAAGTCCTTCGCCCTGACAATGCTTCCGGGGGATGTTGCGTGGTAAGAAACAATGGTTCCGGCTTCGGGGATCGCTTTCAGGAAATCCAGCATCTGGCCATCAAATGCGGCGTTGGTGGGAGCAAACAGCGTGAAGGACTCCATATCCTCCACACGCAATGACGGATCGGCCATCTCGGTGAACAAATCACACAGAATGGTAAAATCGTCATTCGAACAAACATATTCGGCTGTGACACGGATCCCGCAAGGAACGACGAAGAAAAGAAGGGAGAAGAAGAAACGCAGCAGGACAAGGAATGGTTAGGTTCGACGTGCGATTTCATTCGCCCTACTTTATACAAATCGTTGGCTTTGATCTTACAGATCGTTTGGCAATCCTTGTCTCCCTGGACAGTTTCCCCTGCTTTCAGGGTTTTGCTGAACATGATCGATCCGTCGATGTTCACCAGCTGGACGCTCAACTCGGAACCATCTTCCGATACTTCAGCATACCCAAAGGATTGCAATTCGTGGACTTCCGGAGCGAGGCTTGCCCACCTTTCGTAGCCCATAGTAAGAGGGCCCATCTCTAACGATTGCATCGACGAGAAGAAAATGTGGTACAAAATTTCGAATGTTGGGTGAGATAACCGTTAGCAAATCATCATATCTCTCACAGCAATCTTTTACAGAGCATCTCACCGTATTGGTATTCGGCGCCAAAACTCGTGTCCATGTAGTTTGGTCMGAAAGAACCAGCATGTATTGGGCCGATCACGAACTCGTCCATGGGTCTGAAGTTGGTAAAGTTTCCCTCGGCACGATCGGGGTGCAAGTTGACGTGGGCAGTGAAGTGAACGTCACTAGTAAGGGAGACGATTCCCGTGATGCCTTCCTTCTCGATGAAAGAAAGCAGTTCCTTGAATTCGAGCTCCCGTCCCAATATTTTCGGGTCGCTGTTCCCATAGGAATCGAAGTCACCCTCGCTACCCGTGACGATACCAAAGGGGTCGTGGCTGGAAATTACCTTCCACGTGGCCGTAGACGCTTTCAACGAATTCTTGAGCCATTCGGTTTGCTCTGGTCCCATCATCCCGGCAATATCTTCGTTCGTGTTGTCTGGATTCGGGTCGCGGAAGGATCGGTAGTCAGGGAAAAAAATTTCAAGGTGCTTACCGAATTTCTGGGATCGGTAAATGGACTGCCCGTCCAAAATGGGGTTGTACTCGTAAAAAGCCTTGAGAGAATTCTCGTACAGGGTGTCCACCTCTAAACCTTCTTCATAGAGACTCGATCCGGTCATGATCTCACCTGTGATACGAAAGCACAGGAGGAGGAGCAATTCTGTGAGTGTTTCACAAACGCAATTGCGAGATCACAATTTACAACCGACAGAAACCATCTTACCGGGCCACCAGTTATTTGTCACCTCGTGATCGTCCCACTGAACGAAAACGGGAATCTTTGAGAGGAAACTTTGCATCTTGTCGTCACCAAAGTTGTATTTCCAGTTGTATCGGAATTCATCGAGCGTTACGGCGACGAATGGCTTCGACGGATTGTTGGTCCACACACCCAATGTCTCGGTGCCGTTGGTGTATGCTTTGGATGGCGGGATGGAGTCGTCCGCGTAGATCATGTCCCCTTGAAAGAGTGCAAAATCCGGTTCCAGGCCCTCCATCGTGTCGAAAACGACGTATCCCCCCTTTACGGTTGTTCCGTCAACCATTGTGACCTCGAAATCGGGATTGCGCCCGTATCCCTGACCTGCCAAGTCTGCTGCCCAGACAAATTTTATAGGAACCTCTTGGTCATTGGCGGGAGCTGTTTTGAAGGAACCAGTTCCAGGAGTTCCCGAGTTTGAGCAGGAAACCGTGTATTTGTAAAGAGAGAAACTGTCGAGGTCTTTAATCTGAAAGGTGTGGGTAAAATCCGTGTCCGCATCGACGGTGGCATCTTGTGGTTCTGGACAGCTTTCATCGCTGCACTCGAACACGATACCGACAGAAGTAGAGGTTTCGTCGTTGCAGCGGGCCATCACATTTGCGGATGATGCAGAAATTTCACCGGACTGGACAAAGACATCGATGGTGCTAAGAGGAAGTTCCTGTGCACCAGCGAACACGATGCCGAAAAGCAAGACCTTTAGAGCGTTCGAAAACATGTTGCTTTTGCTGTTGCTGATCTCCCTGGTGTTGTTTTTGCTGCTGCTGCTGCAGTTGTTGTCTCGGGATTTTTTTGTACAAATAAAGAGATTTTTGGCGCATTCAGCTGACACGTCGACATGCGCGATCGGAAAGATCCAATGATTGAGACAATCTTCCTCCTTCGCCTCGAGTCTCGTCTTTCTGGTGTTGTTGCGGAGATTTCGTTCCTTCACGAGACAAAAATCCCTGTCAATCAATGGCATCAAACGTTTTGAACTATCCAAAGAACTCAATTCGCTAAAAAGAGATCCTAGAAGATCTTTTTTTCAACGGCCTTTCTCCGCCTCGTTGAATTGGAAGATTCTCAGTTTTTCGATGCCAACACTCAATTACAGTATCGATTACCAGGTACAAAATGATAAGCTTATTACGAAGTATTTTTTTTTCACGAGAATGGATTCGAACCTCCAACTTCCAACAGGCCTACTCGTACTTCCTCAAGTACATTCAATCAAAATATTCTATTTTTGATAGACTGGCAGACGGTTACTTTAGACTGCATGATGCTTCTTTTGTCACTTCTTCTTATGAGTGCTACCTCCACATGGAGATACATAATTATGTTGGGGACTTCTCTTTGTCATGGAATCAACAAATAATTAGGAGTGCTACTACTACAAAGACTACTATTTTGACTTCTATTAGTAGGCCTACAGCAACTGATGGTAGCACAAGAAGAAAAATGTACACATGATGTCAGCTATCACTTCACTCCATTTCTCAACTAATTCTGCACAAAAACAGGTGCAATTGTTAAGATTGATCTAGGGTCTAACATGACAATGATGCTTATTGCTTACAGAATGATGTGGGGAAAAATTAGTAACAAGCACGACATTTCTTGGGGCAGAACTCTTCAACAGTCTTAATCTCCCCACTTTGACCAATTGCTTCTTTGGTGCATTGATTCATTCTTATTTGATTGCACTTCTTGGCTCTCCCATTCAACACAAAGGTGCCCATGGTGTTCAGACAAGAACAACGTAAATCACAGGCAGAAAGACAGAACTCCTTGGCTTTTTTCTTGGATATGGTATCTTCCCTCTCACAACGATTCAATGGATTGTTGGAAACCCACAAACAATCTTTTGAGATATCACCATTGAGCCCAAAATTGATGGTATCCCTTCCACAGGATTGACATTTCTTTTTGCAAACACGAGGGCAAAACTCCTTGACCCTACGCTTGGAAATTCTGTCCTTCTTCTTGCACCTGCGTTTAGTTTTTCTCTTGGCAACCCATGTACACCCACGGTTCATTTTGCCATTTAGGCGGAAGGAATCATCATTAATACAGTCAGCATCTGGGACAGATGGACCTGCAGTTGGATTCAGACTGGAAAACACTGTTGGTTCAAGACTTGGTTTGAAACTTGGTAGTACACTTGGCATCACTGAGACGCTAGGAGGTGCACTTGGTTGGGAACTTGGTTCCTCACTTGGTGGCAGGGAAACAACAGCTCCTTCCAAACCTTCTGCCTCCAGTTGAACTGCAAAGTCTCCACTTTGAATATCACTTTCAATACTTCCTGTTACCAAGGATGGACTAATTCCAGTTGATGGGGGGGCGGTGATCGTGGTAACAATCTCAAAACAAGTTTTCCCCTCAATGCTTGTTGGTGCTTCAAAATCACAGCTCCGTAGAAATACCTCTACATGGATCTCAACAACTTCTGATACCATAGAGTTGAGCATGCGCCCATTGCTAACTTTGTTTGTTTGAACAGATGTACATGCAGTCACAACCTGTTCAGATGTTGTCCCCTCTGAAAAAGCTGCATTCGCAGAAAAAGATGAGCTTGGCGTTTCAGTAGGAACCACTGAAGGTGATGTAGATGGAAAATCAGTTGGATTCTGAGTTGGAGCATGGGTTGGACTCTTTGTAGGAGTTCGTGTTGGTTCACCATCAGCGGGAGTTGGAATTGGGGTTGGAAGATCTGTGGGGGGAGGAGTTGGGGGCTTAGTGGGAGGCTG